GCTTGTTAGTTTTTCAGGAGAATTCAATCCCTTAATGTTCCAAGAGAGGATCTTCATCGCCATGGCGGTGCTGGTCACAACACTTCAACCCCCCCTCCAACGACTGAGGGGAAAAAAAAGGGGGGGGGGGAGAAGAGAGGGGTGGGGGGAAAGGAGGCAAAAAAGAAAAGGAGAGGAAGAAAGAAGCCGACAGAAAGAAATAGACTAAGCTTCAGAAAATAAATACCCTACAATGCAGTCTCCATAGAAAAAGTCTACCGCCACCAGGGCAGAGAAGGCCTAAAGTGGGAGGCGCTAAGGCACTAACAATTACAGAACCCCGAGTGCACTGAACCCCACAGCATGTATGAAGGGTCACAGTGAGCCAATCTAGGCTGTTCCGGGGAGCAGAATAATAAACAAAGCAGCTAATCCAACAAACACAAACCATATAATGAGAACACATCAACATGTAAAATATGAGTAAACAAATATCTCTGCTAAGGAGGACCATGGTATTCAGGCAGCCTGAGTAGAATAGGGAAACTACCCCAAAAAAAAAAAAGGGGGGGGGAAGGGAAAGGTAGGGAGGGATACAACGGGCAGGAGGGAGGTAAGGGGGGGGAGCAAGGGGGTTGGAAGGGAATGAGAAGGAATAGGGTAGGGGAGAGAAGGGAAAGGGCATGGCAATCATAGGCACAAATACTGTGTGGCATAGCAAACAGTGATGTCAGTGATGGTAATAAACATAAGGCCACAGAGGATAGCCATCATCCCCTGCATATAGCGCAATCAACAATCTTGGCACCATTAGGGGAATTCATACCCAATAACATAATACAGGTACTATAGTTCCATAGGCCTTGCATAAGTAATAGGAGGGTACACCCCCCCCCCCCTCTGCCTGGCCTGCCAATAAGAGACCCGCCAAGGCAGAAGGAGCCCCACCTCACCACACGCATCCCGCATGGAGGCACGTGTTCAAGGACCTATTCGGAGTGAACAATGTTCCTCAGGAGTGGTTTGAGGTATCCGAATCTGGTCTGACAATGAGGAGGAATGAAAAAGACTTTTCAGTGCTGTAGAAATTATAGTAACCAGTGGAAACTATAGAGGAGAGGCAGGGTAGTCAGCTCAGATGAACTGTGATTAAGTCCTTTTGTGAGACTACGTCTTCAGGACGCATCCCTTTGAGAGTTCCGCTGTCGCCCTCTATGGGACCACCGGTTGGATCTTTCCCTTTGAGGTTGGCTCCATGGAGCTCCTGGTGGAGGATCAGGTGAGGTCACAGCAGTTAGCCAGTTTGGCACATGGAAGGGGTCTAATTCTGCAAAAGCAAAGAGATCAGGTAGCTCAGAAGGCTGATGTGGGGAGAACATGCAGTTCCCCTTCCTTACGATCACATGGAATGGGTGGCCCCATTTGTAGGTTAGGCTCGATTTACCAAGCTGTTCAAGTAGAATTTTGATTGTCGTGCGTCTTGAGACATCTGGCAGTAGATGAACAGCTGCGTTGTCAAATTTTAAGATGCCAACCTGCCAGGCTCGCTGTAAAATTTCCTCCTTTAGGATGTAAGAATGTAAGCGGCACAATACATACATCCGTGGCCTATTTGGTAAGGGGTGTTGAGGCCCCAGGGTCCTGTGTACTCTGTCGATAATAATTTCCGTGTCTTGTGGACGGTCTAAGTATCTGTTGAAAATGGCGGTTACTTTAGATCGGAGCTCACCCTGTTGTATCGACTCAGGGATTCTGCGGAGCCGGAAGTTTTGTCACCGGCTGCAAATTCTCCAGGTCATCCAGTGAAAGTTGGAGATTAATAATTATAATTTGCTCTGAAAGCTTTGCCTGTGAGGATTGCAAGGACTGGATAGAGTGGGACGTAGTGTCACGATCTTGTTTTATCACTAACAAACGAGAGTCCAGAGCAGAAGCCTCTTGTTTAAGTCCCTGCACCTCACCTCTCATCGCAGTCTCTACACTGCTTGCAAGTGCCTCAAAGTCAGCTCTGGTGGGCAGTTGTTGGAGTAGAGACCATAGTGTCTTTACTGTTGGTAGTTTCGTCATAGGTTGTAAGTCAAATATAGGGGACATTAAAGTACTCACTGTGCCCTGAGGGAATAGTCCTGGGTCCACGTGGGCTGATGTCCCGGCCTGTCTGAGGTTGTAATCCCCTGGAGAAGCAAGGCCCACTTCAGATCCACAATTGGCCGGGCTGTGAGTGCACAGATTCCTGTCAGGTGTCAGGGAGAGCAAGACGGGGGGAGAGATCGCTCAGTGGTGTGAATGGAGGCAATAGATGTGTGTCCTCCTGCTGTATGTCTCGCTCTGTCAGGACAGAGGCCGTGGCCACCGCTGGAGTCTCAGGGCAGGTGGGCGCCATGTTAGCTGGGTCCAGAGTGGAGACTGCTGGCTGAAGCGGGCTATAGCAATGAAATCAGCCTGGGGATCCTCTGCTTGTTGTCCGGAAGGTGCCAGGGGGCCAGACAAGGCTCACAATGCGGGGTATCTACTGCACGTAAGCTGCAGAGGAGCCGCCGGCCGGGAGCTCTGGTGAAGCACGTCTTCACGCAGCCATGCCGAGACCACGCCCCCCTTGGCCTAACTTTATGACTAACTTTGAGTTTACTATATGTTTTGTATAGCCAAACGTTTTTAAAAAATTGTTTTTTTTTTCTAAATTTTTTTTTTTTATAGCACAAAAAATTAAAAGTGCACAGGTGATCAAATGCTACTGAAAGAATGCTATTTGTGTGGGAAAAAAAAGGACGTAAATTTCATTTGAGTACAGTGTTGCATGACCATGCAATTACCAGTTAAAATAGTGCAGCGCCAACTAGCAAAAAAAGGCCTGGTGAGGAAGGGGAGTAAATCCTCAGGAGGGCAAGTGGTTAAAGAGTAACTCCACTTTTGTTGTGAAAAAAAATACAACAAACAATCCACTCTGGGTGATCCATGTACACTGCAGGGATTTTTTTTTCCTTTGTTAAACTTTATTAGACATTTTTCCTTTTTACATCACAACTCAACTACACAAAAACACTTTACAATCACCAGCAATTACAATTATGGTTTTGATTGTCTCCAGCTACCGTAATAATTACATACACCCCTAGTGTGTGTGTGTATGTATGCATGTGTATATATATATATATATATATATATATATATATATATATATATATATGACGGAAACGAGTATTTGATCCCCTGCTGATTTTGAATGTTTGCCCACTCACAAAGAAATGATCAGTCTAAAAATCAAATGGTAGGTGTATTGTAACACTGAGAGACAGAATAGCAACCAAAAATTCAAATGAAATGCATGTCTAACAAATTATGCACTGATTTGCATGTTCATGAGGGAAATAAGTATTTGATCCCCTTCACAAAACATGACTTAGTACTTGGTGGCAAATCTCTTGTTGGCAATCACAGAGGTCAGACGTTTCCTGTAGTTCGTCACCAGGTTTGCACACATCTCAGGAGGGATTATGGCCCACTCTTGGCAGATCCTCTCCAAGTCATTAAGGTTTGGTGGCTGACGTTTGGCAACTCGAACTTTCAGCTCTCTCCACAGATTTTCAATCGGATTAAGGTCTTGAGAATGGCTAGGCCACTCCAGGACCTTAATGTGCTTCTTCTTGAACCACTCATTTGTTTTCTTGGCCATGTGTTTTGGGTCATTGTCATGCTGAAACACCCATCCACGACCCATTTTCAATGCCCTGGCTGAGGGAAGAAGGTTCTCACCCAAGATTTTATGGTACATTGCCCCGTCCCTCGTCCCTTTGATGCGGTGCAGTTGTCCTGTCCCCTTAGCTGAAAAACACCCCCAAGCCAGAAAGTTTCCACCACCATGATTGACAGTTGGGATGGTGTTCTTGGGGTCATAGGCAGCATTGCTCCTCCTGCAAACACGGCGAGTTGAGTTGATGCCAAAGAGCTCAATTTTGGTCTCATCTGACCACAACACTTTCAACTAGTCCTCCTCTACATTATTCAGATGTTCAGTGGCAAACTTCAGACAGGCCTGGATATGTGATTTCTTGAGCAGAAGGGACCTTACGGGCACTGCAGGATTTCAATCCTTGTCTGCGTAGTGTGTTACAAATTGTCTTCTTGGTGATTGTGGTCCCAGCTGCCTGGAGATCGACAAGATCCTCACATGTAATTCTGGGATGATTCCCGCACTGTTCTCATGATCATTGACACTCCACGAGGTGAGATCTTGCATGGTGCACCAGACTTAGGGAGACTGACAGTTGTTTTGTGTTTCTTCCATTTGCGAATGATTGCACCAAGTGTTGTCACCTTCTCACCAACCTGCTTGGCGATAGTTTGATAGCCCAGTCCAGCCTTGTGTAGGTCTACAATCTTGTCCCTGACATCCTTGGACAGCTCTTTGGTCTTTGCCATAGTGGAGAGTGCAATCTGATTGATTGCTCCTGTGGACAGGTGTCTTTTATACAGGTAACAAAATAAGATTAGCAGCACTCTGTTTAAGAAACTGCTTCTAATCTAAGCTTGTTACCTGTATGAAAGACACCTGGTAGCCAGAAATCCTGCTGAATGATAGTGGATCAAATACTTATTTCCCTCATGAACATGCAAATCAGTGCATAATTTGTTAGACATGCATTTCTTCTGAATGTTTTGTTGCTATTTTGTCTCTCATTGTTACAATACACCTACCATTCAATTTTTAGACTGATCATTTCTTTGTGAGTGGTGCAAACATTCAAAATCAGCAGTGGATCAAATACTTATTTCCTTCAGTGTGTGTGTGTATATATATATTTCAAAACCAAATTATACATGATGATACGTTCTGTTTAAACATTCCCTCAATCTTCTAATTATACTATTAATATCTCTCTATGTGACTCATACCATTTCCCCTGTGACCATATTAGCCAGCCTGGTCAGTTGCCAAAATCAGTAACCTGTAACATGTTGTGTTGCCTTGGATATAAATATCAAAAGACTTATGGTGAATTCTTACATTTTGTGTTTTCTAGCTTTACCTTCCTCTTATTCCTGCTCTGAGGCTCTCTGTCATAAGATAGAGGAGTTGGAGAAGGTTCTTAAAAAAGAGAGAGAAATCGATGAGGATGTGGACATTATAAGCATGGAGGAAGAAGAGAAGCCTTGCATCAAGAAGGAAAATGAAAATGGAGATGATGATAAATTTTACTTAACCCCAAATTTATCCTGCGAGTTCATCAGAGACACAGCACAGGAGGTAGAGTTTTATTGAAGTTTTCAGTTGTCAGTGATAAAGTTATATGTTCTTTACTGGAACTGTGGTACCAGTGTGTCTAATGGGTTGGTACTATATTTGTAAAAAGTAATAATATATTGCAGTTTGGTATAAAATACATTTAAAATATCACACCTCTCTAGATAAATGTTGCACATAGTTTTACGATTTTTTTTTTCAGTTCATTTGTGAATTTAAACAGAATTTCTAGGCAACAAGCATTGCAACTGTCACGGATCCGGGTATGACCAGAGATGTGTGGGCTAACACAGGGAAACGCAGGCTCAAGTATGGTGTAAACAATATAATTTATTAGAGGCTATACGAAAATATAAATGCACAATATAAACAAAACCAAACCTCCAACTGATAACTGAAAGTACAAGCACACAGACAAGAGTAGTCAGGGTTGGTGAGGTGGAGTGGTCAGGCAGGCCGGGTCAGGAACCATCGGGCAGACAAGGTAAAAAAGGAGCAGGCAGAGCGTAGTCAGATGGGCCGGGTCAGGAACAATCAGGCATACAAGGTACCAGAGGCACAGGGGCTCATGGGAACAATACCAAGGCACTGACTGCAGGCCTGGCCATTGCTTAAATACACCTCCTGCAATCAGCCTCAGGTGATGGCTTGATTGCAGGAGAGAGATTCAGGCTGCTGAGAGCACCCTCTGGCCAGCACTGGTACTGCAGCCCACAAGGCAAGTGAGCCCCAGCACCACCTGTGCTGAGCCCATTCCTGACAGCAACTGTGCCAATGTCAAGCTTCCACAATTTACCTCAAAGTTGAAGTATGGCCAAAAACTATTTGCACAGTAAAAATGTTACCTCTAACAGCTCTCTTGCTGCTGCAGCTTTGTGGAATCTCCTTGCTTTTATTGAATCCACAGTCTCCGGTCTTTGTAGTTCTGGCTGATGTACATTGATCAGTGTGGGTGGGTCACTTGCTGGGGAAGATCATGACATTCATCTGCACCTTCTCCATTCATTCTGTGAGTAAGATGCAAGCTATTTTCTAAACAGAGGAGGTGCCAAGCGAGTACTGCACCGCGACCCCCCCCCCCCCCCCTTTCCCTCCCCAAACAGCTGGGATACACGACATTGTGGGCTTGATAAAAATGAGTAAAAGATTTCTCAAAGATTGCAGAATTTAGATGTGGGGCACTCTTCATTATCTTATTCTTTACTGTGCAAATGTATAATCATAGTTGTTGGCCATACTTCAGCTTTAAAGTATATCAAAACCCAAAAACAAAAATGTAGTAAATTGCAGCTTACCAGTTCAGATGTGGTTTGCTTTCTGGACCTTTGACTAAGTGGACATTTGATAAGTGGAGTTAACTGGAGTTGGAAACAGGAGATTATAACAGGAGTCTACTAACCTGTAAGTGACAACTGATATTTTCTTTAATATTGTAACTGGGATAATGTGTGCTAGAAGGGTGGAAGGTTTTGTGCGGTGCACAGCGTGCCCCATGTATGCAACAATGGAGTAACAGTTCCAGGATGGATACCGCTGCAACAGATGTGAGCGGGTTGCCATTCTGGAAACTTGTGTTAAATATCTGGAGGAGCAAGTTGCAACACTGGGCAGAACCGACATCCTTGAAAGGGGTCTTCTGCTCTCTGAGCAGGTAGCTAATGGGATTGATGTGGAGGGTGTAGGGGCTAATCAGGATTATGAGGTAGGAAGATGGGTTACTGTAACGAGAGGGAGTGGTAGGGGCTCACAAAAGAGGAAGGCCAGCCCTGGGTTTGTGCACCCAAACAGATTTGCCAAGTTGGGTGAAGATGTGGGGGTGGCAAGCTCAGGGGTGGCAGCCCTGGATGTCACTGCTATCCCTAACAGCCAGGAGGGCAAACCATCTGAGAGGGGTGGTGAGGGTAGTGCAGGAAGGCCTAGACAGTTGGTGGTAGTAGGGGATTCTATAATCAGAAGGACTGATAGAATAATTTTGTTGCCAGGATCGCCTCAACCGAATGGTTTGCGGTCTCCCTGGTGCCAGGGTTCGGCATGTGGTGGACCGGGTGGATAAATTACTGAGAGGGACTGGGCATGACCCAGCTGTCTTGGTTCATGTTGGAACAAATGACAGAATACATGGAAGGTGGAGGCTCCTTAAGAATCAATTTAAAGAACTAGGCTGCAAGTTGAAGGGAAGGACCTCCAAGGTGATATTCTCTGAAATATTACCTGTGCCATGTTCAACTCAGGAAAGACAGAGGGAGATCAGAGAACTCAATGCATGGCTGAAGACCTGGTGTAAGAGGGAAGGATTTGGGTTTCTAGAGCACTGGGCTGACTTTTCATTGGGGTGCAACCTATATGCTAGAGATGGTTTGCACCTTTATGGAAGGGGGTCTGCTGTGCTAGGGGAGAGGTTTATAGGAAGGTTGGAGGAATATTTAAACTAGGATCGAGGGGGGTGGGAGAATTAGATTATAACGGGGTAGACCGATCAGACAGGGGTCAGTTCTTATTGGTGGGTGGAAAGGGGAAAAATGGGGGGAAGGCTATGGCAGATAAGAAGATTCCCATGTTAAAAACAACCAGTGGAATTGGTACCATTTTTGTATAAAAATAAAAAATATGCAAAATACGTGTGAACAAGGTGTCAATGAATTAGTGTTTGTTCACCAATTCCAGAAGTCTGTCAAGCAAAATAGGTGAGTTAGAAGCTTTGGTGCATGAAGAGAACTATGATTTAATTGGTATTGCTGAATCTTGGCTTCATTCTTCACATGACTGGGCCATTAATATTCCTGGCTATGTTCTCTTTCAGAGAGACAGGGTAAATCGGAAAGGTGGTGGTGTCTGTCTCTATGTGAGAAGTGATCTCAGAGCGAGTGTGAAAGAGGACCTAGTTGATGGAGAGTGTGATGAGGCTGAAGTATTATGGGTGGAACTGCACATGGGGGTGCATACTACAAAGGAAATTATTGGAGTTTGTTATAGGCCTCCCAGTGTTAATGAGGAGTTGGAGACTCAGCTCCTTGCACAGATCGAAAGGGCTGGGACGGTGATAATAATGGGGGATTTTAACTATCCAGAAATTGACTGGAGTAATGGTACTGCAGGAACAGTTAAAGGGCAAAAATTTATAAACCTACAGGACAATTTTATGGTACAGTTCATAGAGGCCTCTACTAGGAATGATGCTCTGCTGGACCTGGTAATCTCAAACCATGCAGAGCTTCTTACGAATGTCCATATAAAAGAACATCTGGGTAGCAGTGACGATAACATGATTTTGTTTATTGTTCACTGTAAACAGCGAGCACATACGAGAAAAATAGAAACGCTCAATTTTAAGAGAGCTAATTTTCCAAGGCTGAGAGCTGCTCTCCTAGACTTAGAATGGGAGGGAATATTGGCATCAATGAACACAACACAGAAATGGGAGTTCTTCAAAAAGACTGTATGTGAACACACTGTAAAATATATTCCCATGGCCAACCAGTTTACGGCCAAAGTTGAAAAAGCTATAGATAATAAGAAAAGAGATTTTATTAAGTATAAAAATGAAGGAACGCAATCATCGTTTAAACAATACAAAGAATATAATAGAATATGCAAAAAGGAAATAAAGGCAGAAAAAATTGAAAACGAACAGATTGCAATAGATAGGACCAACCCCCAAAAATTCTCAAATTAATATATTAATAGTAAAAAGGTCCAGTCCGAGCATGTAGGCCCTTTACAAAATAATCTAGAGTGGGTGACTGGGGGACAAAGAGAAGGCAAATTTATTAAATACCTTCTAAAGCTCTGTGTATACAAAGGAGCATGGGGGAGCTCTCGTCCATAATGGGCATGGTATTGACATAGCTCCAGATGTGAACTTGGTGTAGAGCTGTTCACCCTGAGGTCATCACAGAGGATAAGGGGCATTCTTTACATCTGGAGGAAAATAAATGTAATCTCCAGAAACGGAAAGGTTTCTTCACAGCGAGAGCTGTGAAAATGTGGAATAGACTCCCACAAGAGTTGGTTCTGGCCATCTCAGTGGATTGCTTTAAAAAGGGCTGGATTATTTCTTAGATACGCAGAATATTACTGGATACTAACATTTATAGGTAAAGTTGATCCAAAGAATATCTGATTTGCCTCTCGGGGGATCAGGAAGGAATTTTTTTCCTGCAGGAGCAAATTGGATCATGCTTTGCTGGGGTTTTTTTTTTTTTTTTTTGCCTTCCTTGGGATCAACTGTGGGTATAGGATTATAACTTTTTTTTCTTTTTTCATTGTTGAACAGGATGGACTTTTGTCTTTTTTTCAGGCAGATTAACTATGTAACTATGTGGTTTCTGCATCCCAAACGGTGTTAATTGTATTCCCAACTGTCCTCTGTGAACTACAAATCACTATTCCTCTATATATATATATATATATATATATATATACACACGCACACAGTTGTGTTCAAAATAATATCAGTCAGACATCACTAACCTGATCAATCACTGTTTTTGGTAGAAATGACATTTCTACATGGCGAATAATTTACTAGCAGGTGTAGTAGAGTAATAGAAATCCAACATACCCAGCAGTCATTAAATGCATGCTGCTCATTCTGTGTAATTGAATCACTAATTGAAAGGAGCATGTTCAAAATAATAGCAGTGTGGAGTTCTATTAGTGAGGTCATTCATTCTTTGAAAAACAGGTGGCAATTATTGCCCTTATTTAAGGAAGGAAGGCAGCAAATGTTGTACATGCTGGTTACAGTGCATTTCTCTCTGAAATTCTGAGGAAAATGGGTCGTTCCAGACATTGTTCAGAAGAACAGCGTACCTTGATTAAAAAGTTGATTGAAGAGGGGAAAACATATAAAGAAGTGCAGAAAATGATAGGCTGCTAAGCTAAAATGATCGCAAATGCTTTAAAATGGCAACCAAAACCTGAAAGACGTGGAAGAAAGCGAAAATCTACCATTCAAATGGATAGAAGAATAACCAAAATGGCAAGGACTCAGCCAACAATCA